AAATATTTTTGTATTAAGTAATATTATTTTTTATTGTTGCCCGACCGAAACAAATCTTTGGTTTACCCTCATAATATGTAGTGTATAATTTGATTATTTTCATGTAGTGTGTAAGAGATTTTAAGATTTTTGTTTTTCTTTGTTGATACATTTTTTTTCCAACATAATTGCGTTCTTCTTTTGAAATTTTAATTAATTTAGTAACTTATAAAGACAATTGGCGGAGTATAGGAGTTGGTGTTAAAAAGAGAGGCATGTATTAAAATGTTCGCTTCTTTAAATTGACTCGTGCCAAAGTTTTTATTCTATACACAAATTGTCATTTAAGTTTATTTTTATTTGTATATTATTGTTTTGTGCCGCTACTATTTGTATATATTTAAGTAAAAAACAAAAATTTAACAAATTATTTAATTATTACAAATAGGGATTCAAAATGTAGATTAATTATTTTAAAATTTTAACAAGAAAAATCATTTTTTTTCTTATTATGTTGTTATTTTATTAGAATGCAAATCAGGTTTTATAAAAAGAGGTTCTCGACATTTTTATGAAAATGAAAATTTGTTAAATTGCTAAAATTTTTTGTTAGTTTCTTATTGTTAATAATTTATAACTTGTACAGATGAGAATTTTGAATATTCATTTTGAAATTGTAATTGTATCATGATAATATTAAGATTGCAATAACCTTATTGTCATTGTTAAACATTATAACAAATGATTTAAGCTTAATCTTAAATATTAATTTGCTATTTGAAATTAATTTTTGAAACTAATATGAAGTTTGATATTAATATTTGAGATTTGTAAATTAAATTAGTGGTAATCAGTCAGTCAGTTTATAACAATAGGAAATTATTCCTAATCTGATGCTAATTTGAGTTTATCTTTTGTTATTAATATTGTTAAGAAAAATTCAGAAGAAGAAAAAAGACACTTTAATGACAGTTTTAGGGGAACTTAAAGCCTATGTTATGCACATATAAAAGTTACTTGACTTGAAGTAAAAAGGAAATCAAAATATTTTGTTTACTTTACTTGAAATGTTAATATTGACTTCAAATATAATAGCTAAACGATATTTCCTAGACGATTAGGGTATTTTGCCTTATCCCGAAATTGAATTTAATGGAATTGTTTAAAATCTAAGTACTGAAAAATGTAATTTATATTTAATTCAATTAAAATTTTTTTTTTAATTTGTTTAACAAATTCAGTTTTAGTTTTGCATAATTTCTAAGTTTATTTTTAATTTTTCTATTTTTGTTTCTACTTTAGTAAAACACAAAAATTTGAATATTATTTAATTTTTTAAATTGTATAACACTTTTGTACATATGTTTCAATAAATAAATTAACAAAACTTATTAAGTAAGAAGAAGAAAGGAAATTTCGGAACTCTTCCACAATTTTTTTTTCTAATTTAATCATTGTTAAAATTTTAAAAAGAAAAAAACAAATAAGAAAACAATTAGAAAATTTAATTAAATTTAATTTTTTTATTTTTTTTTTATATATGATAATATTTTTAAAAATATTTTAGTTAATATAGGCTAGACTTAAAAGGTATTAACTACAATTATTTAGTATTAGTTCTATTCTGGCATTTGTAATAATAACATCGTATAAATTAATTTTTTAAAAAAGAAAGGGGGGAAAAAAATTGAATAAAAATTAAATAAATATTATTTTTTTTATTTTTTTTCCGCAAAAAATAAATTTAACTTCCTTTATTATTAAAATTTACAATGACAACAATGAGATTTTTAATATTGATAATAGAATTTTTATTGATTATTAATATTTTAATATCAAAAGCATTTCATATTAATCATCATACTGAATTAGAAGGATATGGAAAGAATATGTCAAAATATATGAATAGAAGAATTAATCCATGCGATGATTTCTATCGTTATTCGTGTGGCAATTGGTATAAATATCATAAATTAAAATCTGGTGAAGATTTAATAACTGCAATGGATGTTTTAAATCAAATTAATATAAAAAATTTACATGAAATTTTAAATTCTGGTGAAGTTTTTCCAATTGAAGAAACAACAAAATTAGCTAAAAATTATTATGTGTCTTGTACGGAAACTGATGTTTTAGGTTTGTTTAACAATAATCAAAAACAAAACAAAAAAATCATTTCAGAGCATTTTTAAATAATTTTTAATTTAATAACAATAAAAAAAAAGGAAAATAGTATAGAAAAATATGAACGGTAATGAATTTAATATTACTTATAAAGTGCAACTATAAATATTACATAATTTTTGACATAACTGATAATGCAGGAAATGTGATTGATCGTGTAAATTTAATTGTGAATGAATTGTTGTAATCAAAGTTGAAAATTGATAAGATTTTGCATTGGACTTGTATTTCATTTAAATTTTTTTTTTTATAAAATTATGTGATAATTTCGTAGTGTCCCGAGTTAAAAAATTGCACAGTTTTCAAATAATTAAAAATAAAACAAAAAAAATTAAGTTTTAACTCTAATTAAATTTCAAATTCGAAAAATTTTGACGGAATTAAATTGGAGTTTATAGTTTTTATTTACAATTTAGTGATTATTCTTGAAATTCAAAAAATTTAAATTCTTGCCGTTCATTAACCATTTTTTTTTATTATTAAAAAAAATATATTTTTTGCTATGTAATGAGATTTTTTTTTTTTTGCATTCACAAAAATGTGAAATCTATTTTTATTTTAATTTTAGAAAAACGCGATGTTAATCCAATAGTTGATTTAATTCGTCGATTACATGGTATGCCAGCTATTCATCCAGAATGGAAAGAAAGTGCATTTAATTTTAGTGAAACAATAATTAATTTAAAGAAAAATTACAATATTGATATTTTAATTGGTTTAACATTTTCAAATGATTATCGTAATTATAGAAATCGTATTTTATATGTTGGTGAGACACCATTATCTCCAATACCACGAAATTATTATTTTGAATCGAAACATAAATCCAAATTTGAAAGATATCGTTCAATGATGTCAAAATTTTTACAAAAACTTGGTATTGATTTTGAACAAGCTGATGCTCTGTCACAAAAATTTATTTCATTTGAAAAAGATATTCTTAAAGGTGTATTAGTAGATACAGCTACTGCACTAAAACCAATTCAAATTAAACATTTGGTACGTGAACATCAACTACCACCAGATCATAAATTTATTGATTTTCATACTTTTATACAAAGAGTTCTTGGATTTACAATGTCAGATACATATGAAGTAATTGAAACAAATCATCATTATATTAAGAGTGTTTTGGATGTTATTCAAAGGACACCAAATAAAATATTAGCAAATTATATAATGTACAAAGTAGCAGAATTATTTATGTATAAGAATTTCGATAACAATGGTAAATTAATAAAAGATGAAAGAAGAATGACATACTGTGTTCAACAAACAATGAAATTTTTCCCAAAAATTACTACTCAACTTTATTTCGATAAATATAGAAATTTAGCACAATCATCTGAAACTATTGTACGTCATTATTTAAGAAGTGTTCTCGGTATACATGCACCATTTAAGAAGCGCCAAATTGAATCACTTAGAATTGATTTCTTAAAATATGAAAAAAAAGAATTGGAAGCTAATCAAATTGTTGGAATTGAAATAACAGATCAACATTTTTATAGAAATACTGAAAATATGATGAAATTTTATGCAAATCATTGGTTTAGTAAATTTCATTCTAATCAAATTGATAAATTTGATATTATTAAACCTTTAGACATAAATGTTTATTATATACCAACGGAAAATGATGGTATTATACAAATACCAGTAACAGCTGTACAAAATCCATTTTATAATTCAAAATATCCGAAAGCAATGAATTTTGCAAGATTAGGTGTGTATTTGGCACGTGCTTTTACACATGTCTTTAAAAATTTCACCGATAGTAAATATGCTTATGAGCAAGATTTTTTAAGAAATTGGTGGAAACAAGATGATGATATTAGTTCATTGAATAGTTTTGGTGGTGTTGCAGATGAAAAAATTAAATGTTTTCAAAATCAAATTAAATATAATCAATTAGCTGAAAATATACCAGAAGATGAAAGTTTTGCAGTTAGTTTTGGTGTTAAAGCTGCTTTCAAGGCATATTTAGATTATTTGAATCAATTTAAAAGTAGCCCAGAAAATAATCGAGATTTAGAAATATTAGAAAATGAAACAATCTTTGGATTAGACTTAACAAATACACAATTATTTTTTGTTACATATGCACAAAATTTTTGTAGAGCAAGCAAAAAAAAAGATGATAAATTACGTATTTTTACATCATTGGCTAATTTTGATGAATTTGCGAAAGAGTTTCGTTGTACCGAAGGTAGTTGGATGAGACCAAAACGTACATGTTCGGGATGGTAAAAGCAACAAAACAAAGAGCAATTCAATCATATATTTTTGAGTTTTGAAAATATATTAAATTAAGATTAAATTAATTTATCAATTATTTACTAATTTAAGTTTCAATTTTTATACAACATAAAATTTTCGATTTTCATTATTTTTTGCGAAAAAGTTTTCAAATAAACTTTGATAGTTAGATTTTGTTCTTTTTTTTCATTTAATTAAACAAATTTTTGCAAGGAACTTTATTTGCTTGCAGGTCCGTTTAGTCATTTTTGAAATGTTGTATGTTTAATTTATTGTTTTTCCGGAAAAAGCTTTCGTTGTTCACTGAAAATCATAATTTTGCAAGAATGTCTTCAACAATACATATGTAGGATATGGCACTGTTAAAATTGTTGCAGATTAAGTTGAAATTTCTCAAAATTTGAATTTTCTGTGAAGTTAAAGGATGTAATATTTCAAGATATGGAACTGCCATAATTGTGTAGTTGCAAAAAAAACCAGAGGAGTGATTTCAAAAATTTCAGGATTTTGGTCTTGTTTTTGATTTAGAGCCAAAAATTATGTTTTTGAACTTCACTATTTGAAAAAACAATAACAAATTTTGCTTTTAATAAAAAAACTTTAATTTTTTTTTCTTTTTTAAAGTCTACAAAATAAACAAAAACAAAAATTCAAATAATTTTACAATTGCCTTTTTTTTTACAAATTAAAGCCTTAAAATTACGTATCAAATTACAAAAAAAAAAAAAATTTCGTATTTTTCACCTCATTTTAATTTTAAATTTCTTAATCTTACCATAATACACATTTATCTTTTGGATTCATTGGTGAACCTTCAGGGCATTGGAATTCTTTAGAAAAGCTATCTAAATTGGTCATTGGTAAATTAATTCTATATTCAGATGGATATAATAAATCATTTGAATCAGCAGTCATTTTTGAGTAATGACACCATGTTTGAGCGTGTGTTAAGAAGAATAATTGTGTGTTAGTGTAATCGATACCTGGGAATGTTTCTTCAGTAAACAAGTCTTTGTTACTTTCTTTAATTGATTCTGCCCAATTTTTATAGGTTTCAAATGAATATTTTAAGCCACCATTATCAGCGACATTATCATTTAAACTTGAAGTACCACCATTTTTAGTATATTGTTCAGCGAAACATTTTGATTTTTCATTAAATGTATTCGTTGATGCTTGTGACCACCATGGTGCTGGTACATTACTAACTGGTATTGTCTGTCCTAAAGCATCGAAGCCATGTAAAAGTTCATGTACTAAAATAGCTCCCAATTGAGCAAATTTCATATTTCTTGGTAGTGTTTTTGTATAAAATGGTGGATTTAAGAATCCTAAAGAAATTTTTAATGTATTCTCTTCAACAACATAACGTGCAACTAAACTTGCTGGATCTTTAATATAATCTTCAATACTTTCACCACTAACAACTTTTGAACGGAATTTTCCAATATTATATTTTAATTTATTTAATACATTTTCATAATATTCATCTGGATTACTGACAATTGTTCCAAAATCTGATGCAACTGGTACATCAACACCTTTTGGATAACCAACAATTTCAATTTTAGCTGCATCTAAACGTTCAAAAGCTAATTTTTTTGTAACATCATCGATCCATTCTAATTTTTCTAATTGTGTTCGAACAGATTTTTTAATATCATTGAAAATTTCTTCAACATCTTTTTGTACTTCATTATCATAATATTTTTTAGAATACATTACAGCAATAGATTTTGGATAAAATTCTTTTGTTTTTGCAATACAATATTTCCAAATATCATCCTTATCACCACCTAATGGTGGAACTGTAATTGAAACAAATTCACCAATACCGTGCCATATCATAAAATTGGCAACAGTTTTTTTCGATGCTTTCTCAATTAATTCCATTACACTTTTAATATAATTTGGATTAAATTCAACAATTGGTTTCGATAATTCAATTGGTGTACCAATTGATTGTGTTAAGAATTTTTCCCATTGTACTTTTGGATATTTTTTATTTAATTCTTCAACAGTTGTATGAACAAAATATTTACTTTGATCTGCTTTTGTTTCTTCATCAGCTACAATTACTGATAATTGCTTTTCAAATTCAACAATTTCATTTGCAATTTTACCGGCTTCTTCATTTTCAATACCAAATGTTAATTTTAAAAATTCAACAATACGATTAATATATTGGTCAATAACTTGTGGATTACTATATCCTTCCTTGTTAAATGGTAAACTTATTTCACCAATATATAATTTATCTTTATCATTAAGTACTTTTAAACCAATAACACCATCAAATCCATATGATTTTAATTTTTCTTCAACATCAACATAATCGAATTTTGTTTCATCCCATTCTTTATTAATAATTGGAAAATCACCTAATGTTTGAACAAATTTTTTAATTGGTTCAAAACCTTTTGATTTAATGACATCAGTATTTAAACATGATTTATAAAATTGTTTTACTTTTAATTCAACATCTGCATTATAGATGGCATCATTTTGTTCTAACATTTCTTTCAATTCGGTTTGAATATTATGATTTAATTTTGAAAAACCAGTTGCATCTAATTGACCTTTTGGTGGATTATTAAAATTTTTCCAATTTCCACAAGCAAATTTAAAGAAATTATCACATGGATTTACTGATTTATCCAAATAATCGGTAATATCTTTAGCTGCTTTTGTACGTACTGCATCCTTTGATAATTCATCAGCATTAATATATGATGAACTAATCAATAATACCGATATTAAAATTAATTTAAACATGACTAGATTTTTTTATGAATTATAGTAAAAAAAAATTTTTATTTTTAAAAAATATAAAATAAGGTGAAAATAGATAAGCCGCCTCAATCTAATGAAGAGCTATATCAAACTGATTTTAAATTTTCAAACTTGCTACTATTTATATGAATGCCGTTTCTAAAATTTATTTTATGTTTATGATAATATGTATAACTATAATATACGTAATAACAGTAATATATTCTTAACTTTATTTTGTTATTTCTCACTTTTTGGGTTTTATCATCTTATTATTATTTTTTGTTTTAATTTTATTTGTCTCTTAAAACTCCTTCAACACAATTTAAATATCGGTAACAGCAGCAGCAACAGCAGCAGTAAAACAAAAAAAAAATTAAATACATATTATAAAAGTGTTGTTTTTTTTATTAATTTTTTTTTTAATTTTGTTGTTTTAGGTACTTACCCTCCCTCTCCGGTTCTCTAATTCTTAAGAAATTTAACAAGTAAAAGCTTTTTACAAACAGATTTGTCATGATACCCAACCATCGTGACTACCAATAATATTATGATTTAGCTTTTTGCTTTTTTTCAATGATGTAAGGACGGTGATAATAAGTTGTGTTTGATAATGTTAAATTTGATAGTAAAAAAAATAATCTCAACAATAATAAAAACAAAAAAAAAATTATTGTCAAGACAATACCATATTATTATAAGTAAAGTATACACTCGTATATTATGCAAATTAGGAATATCTATACAAAATTTATCAATAATTTATAAAAATGATATTTAGTTGAAAATACACAAAAACTTAAAAGTAAATATTTGTTTTCAAATTACTGTTGCAATTATACCTTACCTCTAGTACGGTCTCAAATTATTTTTCTAAATCTTAAAGACATTTTTGGAAAAATATTAAAAAAAAATTTATCACTTTTTTGTTGACCATAAGGTTTTCGTATAAATAAAATTATTGCACACTTAAATATATACATGTATTATGTATTGTATATGTATGCATGTGTGTACATTTTCAATGTTTGTTTTTGGAATTATTTTGCATAAATAATACTAGTTTCCGATGGATATTAAATTTTTTTTTTATTATGGTTTAAAAATTAAAAAAAAAAATAAATGATGTTTAAGAAGCTTTACGTCATAAAGATGGGATAGAATAATATTATATATGTATGAATTTTTATAATATTTTTTAAATAAAATTCATTTTTAATTGCTTATTAATTCTTTTTTTGGAAAAAAATTCCCTAATTTTTGATTATTTTTCAAAAAGGAAAAAAAAAATTATTTTGAAAAATACATAAATTATAAAAATGACATAACAACATTATGCGACTAAATAGTAATTGACGTTTGAATTTTGTAATTTAAAACAAAAATTGTAATTGTGAATGAGCAACTAATAATACTAATAAATTATAATTATAAATCAAAACAAAATACAAAATCATCTCAGTTGCCGATAATTGTTCATACATTATTCATTTACAGAATACATACATTGTCCAAAAATTGTTTAGCTTCTCTTCTCTTGGAGTCCCTTCCTTTCCAGTTTTATTTTGATAAGAAATTATTTTCTTTTCTATAATGTTATGCATTTCGGGCATAACAAGTGAAATGGTTTACTGAGCAAGAGCAATATTTAAATAATCTGCAAAGTTTACATGTTGTGCTAAAAATCTCCTGCAATCCATTTTTTTTTTCTGAAAAATTAATAACAAACATTACTTTTATGTACATTCAAATGTACGTTCAAATTTTAGAAAATGTTGCCAGTTGCAATTTTTTGCAAATTTACGACATTGGGATTTTTACATAGTAGGCCGCAAGGTTTAATTTAAATAGATAGAAAATCTTCAATTGAAAATCTTCAAAGAAAGAAAGTATAAAATGTAAATTGTTCAGTTGACTTAAAAATAACTTTTCAAATATTCTCCAAATCTTGCCAATTTAATGAATATTTAGAGTTAATGGTGTCAGATTTCTTTTTCTTTTGTAGAATATTATTTTTAATTCAGTAATATTTCCTTAATTATCTTAATTGAGATTCATCAGATTCTATTCAATTCCAATGACATAACAACAGTAAAATGGGAATACCAAAAAAAAGGAATAACTTTTAAATTAAATTTTCATAACACTATTCTAATCTATTTTAAATTTCCATTTTTTTTTATTTTTTAATATTTTATTTATAGAGTTCTCTTTACATTTATTTTTTTTATATATTTTTTTTCTAATTATTTTACATCGTCGTACTTTTAGAAAAATATTTTGTAATATTTTAAGTACTGCTGTAATTTTAAAAACAATACGATGGCATATAAACCTATATAAAAAAAAATTTAACTTTAGACACATTTTCTCTTGTGAGTTGTTGGAAATATCGAAAATTAGGACAGTTTATTTTAGTAATGACTGCATTTAAAAGGCGATTTTTTATTTTATTTAAAATTTCTTGTAATTTTAACATAGTTTTTCGTTCATTGTTTAAAAATATAACAATTTTATTTTATGTACGTTTTACATAAATTTTTTATATAGAGGAAAAAAAATAAGAAAAAAAATTTATACTCTACATAAAATTCAAAAACAAATGAAATTATTTTGTAAAATTTTATGAACTTTAAATATTTCAACGCAAAAAACAATGTTGCCTATCTGCATCAAATAAAGTGATGTCAAATTTCTTGCTTTTGATGGTACCACACGTATATTTTTTCCTTTCTTCTTATCATTGCATCATCGTACTGCGGTTAAAGTTCAAATTATTTAAAATTTTGGTTAAAATTTAAAACTGCAGTCACTATTCGTTTTTGTTAGTATACTGCACAAAACCGCCCGTTTTATTTTTGTAGTTTTGCTAACTCTGCGATAGACGATTCGCAAAACTTCAAAAATAAAACGGACGGCTTTGTGCAGTACTAATAAAAATGGGTAGCGACTGCAGTTCTAACTTCAAACCAGAACTTTGCATTTGACAATAAAAAAAAAAACGGCAATTAAAATTGGACTGTGTGATATTAGAAAAACTTCTTTTCATTTCGATTAAACGAATTTAAAGCCAAAACTTTTATAATTTGAATAAATAATAATTTTTGAAAAACATGAAAAGTACATAACAATTTTATTTTTAAGCATTTTAAATTTTTTTTCCTTATGACGGATTTTATTGTATCCTTTTGTTGAAGATTTATGCTTCAAACAACGCGATTCTTCAACGAAAATTTCATTTCTATAGAATGGGTTATAATTTAATCTTGTACGTATGGCATAAATTAAGAAGATTTAAAACTTTGAAAAACAAAATTGAGATCAACTTGCATTAAATATAATTAATTTTTTTTAATATTTTAAAAATGTTACAACTTATTTTATCCTTAGAATTCCTAAATGAATATATACGTATATACAAAATTCTTTAGGTGAGTCTTGAGTTTTAAAAATAAAATAATAAATAAAATTATTATGTAAAGTAGAAAATTAAATGCGTTGTTAAAAGATTTTAATAAAGTTCGCGAAGACTTTTTTCAAATTATGATTGAAGTATACTTTGAGGCTATATGGCCTAATAATTCATAGAATTTTCAAAAATTTTAACAAAAGAATTTCTAGGAAAATTATATTTGAATTAATCTAAATCTGTATCAAAGTAGTTTTATGTTTAATATTTTCCTTTATTTTAATTTGCATAAAAAAATTCAAAAATTTTTGAATAAATTTTAGTAAACTCCAATAATTCCTAATTTTTCGTGAATTTTCATACGATTTATTGAATAAATTTCAGTTTTGGTTTGAAATTTCAAGGACTACTCCATAGCTGCCATTGTCACTTTTGTAGATCAAAAGGGATGTTAAGTTATAGTTCATTTTCATTAAGGTTGTTAACATTAAATGAGTACACAGAAGTAAAAAGTTGTGTTGTGTTTCGAATTATAGGCTTAAAACCTAATCAAAATTCGAAACACAGTTCAAATTTGCTCAATTAACTACATATAATTTTAGAGACACCATTAGAAAATTTAATAGCCCTAGCTTCCATATGTAATGGCAAAAAATCAGTTTTTAGTCAGCCTTTAATCAAAAGGTTTCCAAAGTATTTATAAAAACCATCTAGTTTTCCGCTTTTTCTCCGCATTGAAAATGGTCTTTAAACAATATGGAATAGGATGCTTCGTCAAAGTTTATTTATAAACTATATATGGAGTCCGTTTCTTCGCCTAAGTTAACGTAGTTTTAACAAAATGCAAGTACGGATAGCACTTTTAACTTTAAAACTGAAAAAACTTTTAAATTTAAAATTGACAATCGTAAATATCTGAGCAAATCAAATTATGTATACACAAAATTATCAATTCATGAATTTTCATCGGATAAGTTCAAGTGTCAAAACAAAATTATTTATTTTTAGACGCGTATAACTACGCAAAATGCCTTACACGCACATTTTATACACATATGCCTACATATTTTAAATTTTATTCAAAATTTTAATTCCTGTAAGTGTAGTAAAAAAACAAAAACTGGTTAAAATGAAATTAAATGTTGTTTTTGTTAAAATCAAAACCACAAAAATATAATTTTGTATGTTAGGGAAAATAATAAGATTAAATTATTAAAAAATTCATGTTATTAATTATTTCCAATTAAATAATAAAAATTCATTTTAATTTCTTCTTAATTATTGTAGTGTGTACACACATATTTACATATATTTTAAATGTAGTAGTATAATTTGTTTATTAAAAAGATGTCATACTGTCATATTGTACCCATTATTATTATACAATAACTGAAACCACCATTGCTATTAAAAAAAAAAGCAATTCTTGAAACAAAAAGAAATCAACGTTTTTTTATTAACTGACGTAGGTATTTTTCCTCGAAACAGAGAATATTTTTATTTTTAATTTTAGTTTTAAATATTAATTTGTGTATATACTAAAAATCATATTATACCGGTGTGATAGCCGGTTATGATTAATTTTTCAAGGTTAGGATACTACACTTGAGAAATTTATAATGACTATAGAATAAGAATTTGGCAAACAAACAGAATAAATTGAGTTTTTTTATTTTTTAATTTTTTTTTTAAGTTCATTATGTATTCCAAGCATATT